GTACTATGGGCTAGCCTTGAACTCAATAGCCCGGGTTGGTCTTGAATTCATAGCAAGCCTCCTGCCTCCATCTCCCACATACTGGAATTACAAATGAAATGTAAAAGTTTTGAATCACTTCAGTCCACTGAGGCAGCCATGATAGCACAACTAAAGACACTCATGAAAGAACATTTTTCATTACTGCTTCATAAAGTGGTAAGAACAATGGAATATACAGGCGAGGGAAAGTATTTTTGAAGGTGATTAATGTCAATGTGTCTTTTGTTATAATAACTTAAAAATTTACATGTTCACCATATTAAATTCCATACTTCTTAAATGGCTTTATCTTAGTTTAGTTAAATACACATCAAAGTAAAAATCCATATAAGTAACACTTACTAAGTACACATCATACTGTTTACACATATAGTTTGTGCTAAGAAGTTTTACTCTCTCTACATTCAATTATTTTAATATATAACATTCTATAATTATTAATCTGTCTTCTATCCTCCAGATGGGCATATAACTAATTAGCAAGTTATAATCTCCAAATACATGTAAAGTGTATTTTGGCCTTAGATATGAGTGTTGAAAATATCCCATAAAGGTGAAACTTGATTTTAAACAGTGATAGTTTTATATACAGATGGGACATAGTCTGATACCAGGATGAAATTCAGTAAAGGTTAGTATTGTTGATTCTTACAATAGTAATAATTCTATAGATACCATATGCCTAGCACATATGAGAACTTTAAGATATTTTAAAGTAATCTAAGTGTGGATACTTTAAACATTATTTATTCATTTGTCATTAATAAAACATGAATAAATAATCCAACTAAGTTATTTTTCTGTGGGTAAAGCAGGTATCTAATGAAAAATTGGTTTCTAATTTATATTCACAGTTTGAAGGAAATTGAAAGAATATAACCAATGAAAAATATAATATTAAGTGAGAAAATCCAAACTTAAATGATCATTAGTGAGTTTATCCTAGAGAGAAAAATATTATCTCACATTGTGGTGACCTATAATTATGTTTTGTATATTTTATTTTTATAGTGGACTAGGGAAGAATCATAGTTAAATTTGGTTTTACATTAAATAGGGTGAAAGTGACAGTGTAAGAAATGCACTAAATCTAAATCATCTAAAAACATCTAAATCATCTAAATCATCTAAAATCATCTAAAAACAGTAAAGTTCACTTTTTCTAGGGCTTCTGAAAGCAGGATAGGAACAGACCAGTATGTTCCTTTTAGATTGTATCTCAATTTACATATGTATATAGGCCTGAACTACATGACACATTGAAGTTTTTTTGAAATACCAATTGTTTTCAGGCTGATAAAATTCATAATGTGAGTATGAAATGAATGTGAACTATAATGTGTCCTGGTGGAAGGGCATGTGCATGAAAATTGTGTTTAGAATTCAAATGAGTACAGAAACTATGATGTGGTAATTTATACTGTTGAAATGCTAATTGAAAAAGTAGTAGTAGTAATTTTAAGAATTACTGATTTTTTTCATAAGTGAAGAAGTGGTATTAGTAATTTTAAGAATTATTGACTTTTTTATAAATGAAGATTATAGCAGAATAACTATTTAAAAACTAGGATTTAAAAGATTTGAATAACCTAAATATGAAAATTGAGACTATCAATATTCATTTCTGGTTTTCAGATTCTTTAAAAGCTTTCACAGTTTTTCACAACTCTATCCAAAATTATCTAGAGTACCATGCAAAACTGTCAACATACTAGTTGTAAACATCCTGTTGAATTTTCCCGGGAAGCTTTTATTCTTACTGCAATCTGGACTGCTTGATCTCTAGGCCTTTTTGAAACTCATCTTTGGACTATTTTTCCATGGTCATAAATTTCTTTTCTCCTACATTGTTCTTTTTCTTAGTGTCCCTAATTTTGTTGTGATAATCCTTATGGTGGTTTAGGAGGCGAATTTTTGAGGTCTTTAATGACTGAGAATACTTAATAGTATGTCTTCACACTGTTCTGACAATTTTTGGTGCAAAGAAGTTAACCTCTGTATTTTGAAGACATTTATCTTCTAACTTCCTGTGTTGCTTTTGAGAGATTTAGTGGCATTTTGAACTTTGCATGTTACCTGTTTTGTCTCTTTGGAAATTCCTAGGCACTTTTCTATCCCCTGTTCTGGAATTTCATGGTGATGACTTTGGTTTAACTCAATTCATTGTACTATTCAGTTGCTCTTTCATTCAGGAGGCTACTGTCTAGATTTTGAAGTTATTTCAAGAAAAATTTTTAAGAAAGAAACTTACCTCTTTGTCTCTCTGTGTCTGCTTCTGTCTTTCTTTTTCTCTCTGTCTCTATCCATCTGTCTCCCTCTCTTCTCCTCTTCCCTCAGTAGGGAAAAATACAATTAGTCAACTACGTGGTATGGAGATGATGCTCTGATGTTTTAACATTATTTTCTACTTTTCTATTGATTTAATTTGTTTTCAGCTTTTTTTTGGGGGGGTAGGATAGTCTTGCTATGTAGTCCATACTGGACTTGAATTCACTACATTGTACAGAGTAGCCAAAAATTTTTAGCGCTGCTGTCTTAGCCTCCCAGAGTTGGAATTGTGGTTGTATGTTACTACAACCAGCAGCAACTTTAAAATTTGTGAGAGTCCTTACTTGTTCTCTAGTAACTGTTTTTCCTTTTTAAAAATTAGTTTTGTTTAGTAATATCCTGCTCTTTATTCAGAGGTCCTACAAATATTAAGGAAAAGTTTCTCCTGATTTATCATCTACTTTCATGTTTGTTTATTATATACATTAAGGTGTGCCTGCATTTCTTCATACTTCTAGTGGTTGGAATAATTTGTATTTAAGAATCAGGTACCAGATTGAATTGGAAACACTGAATGTGTGGTCGTAAATTTACAAAAATAAAATAACAACTTGTAATGATTTTGTTTTTGAAGAGAAATTTACAAATTAGTGTTTCACATTTGTGTAGGTTGCGTATTAGTTGCTCAGTTTTCTTTATGTTCACATGTAGATTTTGATTTCTTCTATCCTGCTGTCCGTTATCATTCTCTTTACTCACTTTCTTTATAAAATCATATACCCATGTTGTTATTTCTTTCTGTATCCTCCGCACTTACTAGTCTGTGCCCTTTTATATTCATATCCTGTCATTGGGTGCTACTTCTAGAGGCTATGGAAATAAGTGCATATATTCAATTCATTAAGTTTGACCACAGTTCGGTAAATAAGATTAAATATTATGGGCATTTTAAACATTATTTGTGTCTGTAATTATTATTTTAAAGACTTCTATCTTATCCTGCATAGTCAAAATACTGTAGCTTATCTAGCCATTCTTCTCTTTTTTTATGACTTTAGGTTGTTGCTAATTGAAAAAGCATAATTAATCGCTAAAATTATGTGACAGATTTCTGAAAGAATGCTCTTTGTTATTCATTAATTTTTAAAATCTTTGTTTTATGCACATAGTATTAACTGTAAGCAATTATACAGCAAAAGTATAATGTGGTCTCTTAAAATAGCTTACTATACTAATGGTTTGGAGAGAAGAATATGTTTTTAATTGATAATTAACAACAGTGAGGTATATTGTGAGTTTCTACTTTTCTGTACAGAGATTATTGATTTTAATAAGCATTAAATTGAAAGTTTTGGGCAGAATTTAAATCAGTTTCAATTTTTAAATAAGGAATATATATTTTATTTTATACAAGCAAAGTTTAGATTTACTATTTAGCTTTCTTAAAATAGTATGGAGAGCTATTTTGAAGATAACCAGAGGCAGTATGGCAGCCATTATTGATTTTCTATTATCTTGTTTTTAGATGCTGTATCACTTTCACAGTTTTGTTTTGGTTGGCTTTATTCTCTTAAAAATAAAAGAAATGCTTTGATGTGGGATGAATTAAATGGGTTTGTCTAAGACCAATTTACAGTTTTTATACTTTTTAAAAAATTAAACTTATTGGTACACTTTAGATATGCATAAATATCATATTCATTATGGCAAATTTGGACCTGTGTATGATATATTCTACTATTTTTTACACATTTTAAAATAGACTTTCTGATATTATGTTGATGTTTGAGATTTACCATCCTATTTAAATATAACTTCTGAAGGCTAGATTAAATATATAACTATAGTATGATATGCACAATGGAGTATATTTGCAAAGAAATACAGTTTTGTGCTGCAAAGTGGATAAGTCATGACAGATAACCTGTATAATGGTAGTATCACAAGATAGAATTACTCAGTAACATTGAAGTCTTATTAGATTGTAAGCATACATATATACTTGTAATCAAATTATATATTACTGTAATTTGTGTGTATGTGTATATATATATATGTATATATATATATATGTATATATATATATATATATATATATATATATATGTGTGTGTGTATTTTTAAATTTTGTTTTGCTTTGTTTTTTGGTACTGGGGATTGAACTCACAGCCTACAGTTTGCCAGGCAGGCGCTTATGCCGCTGAGCTAAATTCCCAGCCCCATATATTGATTTAAAAGCTTTTAAAATTAGTTTTAATGTAATAAATTAAATGAATTAAAATTAGTTTAATTAAAATTAGTTTTAATGTAATAAATTAAATTAATTAAAATTTAAATTAATTAAAATTAAAAATGAATTACATTTCATTTTATGAATGCTTCTAGTTATAACTATGAAATAGCATTAAATATTTTTAAATTCTCTATAATAAAGTAAAAGTATGTAATGAACAACTCTTATAACTTGAATTTTGATCCTTTTTTATGGAACTGAAAATAGATAATAAATAAAATTTTTCCGAAACTCAAGTTGTATCTGAAGAGAGAATACAGTTTTTTGAAAAAATTATTTTCCTGGATCAACCACTTTGAACCAAAGTAAACTCATTTTCTCTGCTTGTTTCTTGATTCTAAATTTCAATTTACAGTTTTTATACAATTTACAGTTTCACTTAAAATTTTTTTTACAGTTATCTGCCATGGTTTGAAGTATACTACAAGCTTCTAAATACTCTGGCAGACTATTTGGCTAAGGAATTGGTAAGCTATGCTATTTCTCTCTTGTTCTTCTAGTGTTAAAATATGCATAACATAAACTTTACCATTTTAAGTGTATTTTTTTGTCAGTAAGTACATTGACATTGTTCTGCAACCATCAATACCACCCATCTCTAGAATTTTTCCATTTGAGATGAAACTCTACCTATTAAACAATAACCCGTTTCTTTTTTCTCCTCTTCCTCCTCCTCCTCTTCTTTGGCAGCCACTATTGTACTGTGTACCTGTAAGAATCTATATATCTCATATGAGTGGAATCACCCAGGGTTTTTATATAAATGTTTTATTTTACTTATCAAAATGCCTGCAAGATTTTCATATGATAGGATATGTTAGAATTTCCTTTTTAATTTTTGATCATATCTTACTATATTTATACATTTATTCATCTGTCAAAAGATACTTAGGTTACATCTTTTTGACTACATATGAGTGAACAGTGCTTTTATGGAAGATGGCTGTACAAATATCACTTCTAGTTATTAGGTTTTTTTAGTATATCTACAAATATAAGTGCTAGGTAGCACAATAATGTTATGTATCATTCATTTTGAGAAACTGCCCTGCCATTTTCTATAGTGCCTGTAGCATTTTATGTTTATACTAGCAATGTACAAAGGTATTTTTTATTGTTTTCTTGGTATATATTTTATTCATTGAATATGCTTTTATTTATTCAAGGAAAATGATTTGAATGAAACTCTCAAATCACTCTATAACCACCCAGTACCAAAAGCAAACACTTCTGTCAATTTGAGTATGGTAAGTACTTAACCACTTTGTTTTTGGAGTCATAATAATTTTTCACTTAAGAGCACATACACTTTATAGAAATCATTTGCAAAGTCACATTTCCAAAAAAAGAGAGTGATATTACTAGTGTTAGTAATATTATTAAGGCTTTGACATGTAGTACTGTCAAATTTGATATATTAATAATTATGTATTTTGGTAGCTGTTAAGTTGCAAAATTAACAGTTTTATTATGAATTGAAAATAACAAAATCTGTAAGAACATTTTGATTGTGAGGAACATTAATTTTTCTTTGTAGTCCATGCATAGTGAAGGAATACACACACACACACACACACACACGCTACCTCTCCTAAAGCAAAAGCAGTGCTTAATGAAAATTCTGGCTTTAGAATTCTTTTTCCCCATACTTCAGTACATCTTCTAATGTGATCACAAAATCCTGGAAATATGAATGAAGTTGTCAAAAACAGAAAGCCTAATAGGACATAGGTTTTTGTTATTAATAATAAATATATTCAGTGAACTGGGCCATCTGAATCTAAAAGTACATTCAGTTTTGTAAATATTCAGATTTTGTGAAAATAAGTTACGAATGTTTTCACTAATGGTCTCCAATAATTTGGTATGTCAAATAGAATTAACATATTTTATTGATTTTTTCCAAAATAATACTAAACTTGTTCAATAAAGAAAAAACTTAATGATATAAGAAATATTGCAAGAATAAATAACTTGAAAGATATATAATTAAGGTTTTGAATTTTTCTTTTTTCTTTTTTTGCCTTTTTCATTTTTATTGGTACCGGGGATCGAACTCACGACCGCCTGCTTGCAAGGCAGGTGCTTATGCCACTGAGCTAAATCCCCAGCCCCAAGGTTTTGAATTTTTCAAAATAAGGAAACTGTCATTTTTAAATTATTTTTAATAATAACTTTCTTCTTGCTAAATTTTGTCCTCTAGTTTCATTTAATAATAATACTCTCTTACCTTACTCAGTTTTTAAAATTCCTACTATCACACCCTAATTTTAGGTGTGTGATATTTTCAAGTTTTTCTTACAGTCTTGTCTTTCATTCCTTTCCTCAAAAGATTGCCAGATCAGACTGCCTTAAACTATTTAAACTCCCCAGCTAAAAAGTTATTATGTAATATTCATCTACATGATTGGCCAGACTATTAGCACTATCCACTTCTTAGCTTTATTCAGTTTTTTGGGTCTATTTTTTTTTTCTAAGTTCATTATTCTGGTCTCAGTGTTCTCTCAGCGTCTAGAATTAACATCATACTTTCCTTTTGCACTAAAACTGTATAAACTGTCTGACTTTAGAATTGGCTCAATGGATCCCACAAAGCTTAAAATGTTCTCCCCTTCACCCCTGGTGCCTTATGTCTATACTCTTTTTCGTTGTATACTGCTAAAGTGGAAATGTTTAGTGGTAGTTTGGAGATTAGTGAGGTGAAAGCTCAAGATAACCTGTACTTTTTAAACACCAATTTGGGAATTATCAGCAGATGTAAGTTATAGCAGTTGAAGAATAGATGATGTTGCACAATCAAACATTAAGGAAAAAAAAGGAAATTAGTAAAAGAATGAGGAGAAATTCATAGAGCATAAATGCCAAAAGAATGCAGTATTAGTGCTAATGCAGCAGAACAGTGGAGAACAAAGAAAAGCTTTGGCTTTTCTAAAACAAAACAAAACAAAAAACTAAGTCACCTTTCTTTGAAAGTATTACATTTGTTAAGTGATCGTAACAGTTTGTTAAATAGCTAAGGAAAATAGTACAGCTGCTAAGACAATGAAGGCAGCTATTGTATAATATTAATAAAGAATGTTTTTTGACATTTATTTTATCTCCTTTTAAACTGACATATAATAATTACTCATATTTATCGGATGTAGTAGGATACATGTATCCATTGTATAATGATGCATGAAGGTGATTATACTTGATGTCTCTGCTTTCATGAGATCAAGTTTTTAGATCTGTCTATGAGTGAAATCAGATGTTTGTCATTTTGTTTCTGGCTAGGATTAAGACTGTGAGCACTACATGTGCTCCAGGGTGGGTAGCTTTCATACAATACAAAGCACAGGAAGAGGTTTGTCTCTTTTTTCTCTTGCTTGTTGTTTTTGCTATCTTCTGTCCACCATGAATTGCTCTCTATAAAACCACCCTGCCTTGAAGCCAGCAGATTATGTACTGAAACCTCTATAAAATGTGAGCTAAATAAACCTCTTCCCTTTTTAATTTTGGATGCTGGGAATTTTCTCCTAATAACAAGAAAAGTAACTAAGATAAATGCATACAATTTTTCTTTTATTTAATTTTCATCTGTATTGCCTCAGATTACAGAATTTCATTTTTTAATGGCTGAGTAGTGTTCAGTTATGCACATGTACCCCGACTTCAAAAATCCATGTAACTTTTGAGAAGCCCTTAGATTGGTTTCATATCTTGGCTGTTGTGAATAGTGTTGCAGTGAACATGGAATTGTAGGTACACTGATTTCTCTTCCTCTACGTAGGTCTAGTGATGGGAATGCTGGATTAAATAGCAATTACAATTTTAGTTTTTTGCATAACCTCTGTAATGTTTTCGGTAATGACTGTAATACCCTTATATTCCCACCAACATTGTATGACAGTTTCCATTTTTCTACATCCTCCTTAACACTTATTATTTTTTATAATAACCATATTAACTAGGTTGAAATGATAACACATTGTGGTTTTGATTATTTCCCTGATGGTGGTGATGCTGAAGTATTGGTTTGAAAGCTAGGCTTCCGAGTTTTTAAATCTTAGACACTTGTTCTCAGACTATGTTATCTTACATACTGGTAAAAGCAACTGTTTGCCTTTATATAAAGTTCATTAATAATTTTGTTTGTTTTCAACAACAGATAATGTTATGGGCCAAGTATTCTGGTCCAAATGAGAACCAATTTTGTTCTAGAATGTTTATGTTTATCTAGTAGGACAGATTTTGCTTTTTCATTGTCAGATTAAAATCGGTGGAAATTTTTGTGCCTGCAAGTAGGTAGTGGTCATAAGAATATGAGAGATTTTATAAAAGTTAATGTGTTAAACCATGTTTAAAAAGCAGTATTTCAGAAGCATTATATATCTTCCGCATTCTCTACTTGATGAACTTAAAATAATTTCTTTAGGTTTTTTTATAGCATGAAACTAGCAAATCAGCGTTTAGAACAATTGTTATTCAGTGAGTAATGTAGCTGCATGCATTTGTCTCAAACACACAGAAAATTTTTATGAAAGCTTCCCCTTGAATGTAAAATATTCATTTTTCTCTTATATATTATAAGAATCAAGAGATATTTATTGCCAGTGAGCAAATTCTGAAAGATCAGCTCTCACTAATATCGGTGAGTTAAAAGGACATTGGCCTCTAAAAATCAGTATTAAAGGGGAACAATCATTATTTCTTTCTCTAAGTCTTTAAAAATGACTTCTCAAGAGACTCTTGAGAAGTCATTTTTAAAGAAGTCTTCCCTTGAGAAGTTAGAAATTGACTCAAAAATTAATCACTTGGTATATATTTTCTGTTTATACTATCTTTTAATGATCTTATAAATATAGATTTATGAAATACAGTGCTATCAAACCACAAAGGTGGTTAATAGAGACTAAATCTATGAGTAGTTATCTTAATCGCATTCATAGCGTGACATTCCTGTTAATTTTGGTCACAAGATTTTCTTGTGACTTACCTCATATTGTTTTTCCAAATTGGAAAATGATGCATTCTGACTGTATAAATTAACTTTCTTCTGACTAGTTGAATTTGTGCTCACATTTTGGCTTGATAGCTTCTTTCCAGCTATAATTTTTAATTCTATCCTGATGTGACTAAGATATTAAATAATTTTGTAATATGAACAGAAAATAAACCATGTTTGTTGATTAAGTTGTACTTTGATTTGGATGATAAAACTTATAAACATGAGAAAAATGAGTAAATGTACATAGTGTATTTTTATATAAATATTTCAATGAATTTTATTGCTCATACAGTGTAAAAGTTAGGATTTGTATAGTGTATGTATGAGAATTATAATTCAAGATGAGTACCAGAGTTTTAAACTTCTATAAATTAGGCTTATTGCTGTCTTCTAAATAATGTACTGTTATTTACAGAATTTGCTATGATTTGTGATAAAAACTCAGTAAACAATAGATTTTAGTGTATTTTTGGGTTAGCATGCTTTATTTTTTCAGTTTTACCTAAACTATGTATGTTTTAATAATAAACATATGTGTATGTTTATCACTATACACATATATATCTTTTTTCTCTACTCGATTATACCTTGCTTAATATCTGTTAAGAACAAATGACATGCGAGAACTATTTCTATGCTTTACAAAATAGTAAAGTTTTATTATCTATCAGTCTATCTGATTTGGTAATATACTCTTCTTTTTTTTTGCCTTGAAGCTTTCACCAGGATTATTATTCTATTTCTCTCTTATTTTAAAGTAAAGCATTTTAACCAATAACTTTTATATGAGAAGGGTATTATTCCAATAAACCTGCTATCTCATGCAAGAGTGTCTCAAATTCAACAAATCCTGAGTGTCCCTAAAATTTATTAATTTAGGCAATATATTTTTATTTTAACCTAAATTAAATATAATATCAAATTTTTCATTCTTTTCCTTTATGATTTATTTCTACTGATTAGCATTCTTACTTCATCGCCCCTGATGTAACTGGACTCCCAACAATACCTGAGAGTGTAAGTTTTCTGATTTTTAGTTTTATTATTCTACTTACATTACACATTTTATTTGTTTTAATCTTACTGTTTATAAATTTCTGTGTAGAGAAATGAAATACATTGTAATTGTGTTTGTAAGAAAAAAATGAGATAAAGAATAATAGTGTTATCTTTTTTCCTCTACTCCGTCATACCTTTCTTAATAGCTGTTGTTGATAAGAAAAATGATGTGAGAAAAATATATTTCTGTCATTTGGAATAGTTATGTAAGGTCATATATATTCAGTTAGGGCCTGAGATTCAATTGAAAGTAAGGAAAAATCAGTAGGAAAAAATATTTCCAGATAACCTACTATTTATTGTTTTTCTAAATAGTTTTGCAAACCTCCTGAGTATTTGCTTTCTAAACATACATGAGTAACCCGTGGAGACCAAGAAGGCAAGCATAAATTTTCTAATATCTAATCAAGACTATCAGATAAAAACTTTAAGTAGTACAGATGAATTCTATGAAACCCTATGAAAAAGGTCTTTCAGTCAGCTGCTATCAAAAGACTTTCATTGAGTCACTGTAAATATGAACCTGAAACAGACCATCAGAGCTTTCGAGGCCCCTAATACAGCTGCAAGTCTTGAGTCCTGTGTGCTAGGGGCAAGGTACTTTCTGTTGGGTTTTCCTTAAGAACCGTTACCCGTCTCTTAACTTAGTGGCCCTTCACTTCAGTAGCTGATGCAAAGTCAATTTTACTTCCTTCTGCTTGCTCTACTTAACGTTTCCTTACATTTACTAACAAATAACTGGTCACTTCATTTAAAAATGTCACATTAAAAGAGGACTTTGCTTTGAGTATTTTACAGAGGTATTTACAACCACAGAAAATATACTAGCCCTTTTTAAAATTTGAATTTTAAACAGGGTCTCACTAAATTGCTCAGGGTAGGCTCAAACTTGTGATCATTTTTCCTTAGCCTCACAGAGTGGTGGGATTGGGGGCAGGTGCCACCATGCCCATTTTGAGAATACAAATTTTTGTATTGTGTTGACATATTTTATTTTGCAAGAAGTCCTGTTTAGGGAAAAAAGAAAGCAAGGTTGTATACATAAAGAACTATTCTGTGTTGAAAAATCTTCATCTAAAAATTACCCCTTTTTGAGTGGTAAGGAGCCAATTTAGAATATCATCATATTATATTTGGGTGCAGTGGTATAAAGCAAGCTTGATGTGGGATATAAATAAGGATTTTCTTTAATAAACAAGCGAAGTCTGCATCTAACTCTGCTCATCGTATGGCTGTCTTGTGCATAGTACACAGTAAGAAACAATAGTTTTAACTGTAAAGTGAATAGCAAATATGAAAAGACTCAAATGTGTTTTCTTCTGCAGTAGATTCTGTCAAACATCTGTGTATAACAACCAGCAATAGTACAATTTGTTTAAAAATCAGATTCGTGGGACCATTCTCAGAAGATAGTAACACAGAATGTTTAGACTGGGGCCTAGGAAATCAGCTTCTTTTCAAATACTTGGTGTGTTTTGAGTGGGGAAGACAGGGAAATATTTGGTTTTCTGATCACCCGTTGAGAAATAGGGTTGTGAGTAATAGGGTTATGCTTCAAAGAATAGTAGAATATTGTATGCTTTGTGTGGCAGCAGAAGAAAGTTAAATTTAATTATTTTAATGAATTCCACCTTTGAACTCCTGGTAACTGAATAAAATGTTTTTCTTTGTATTCACCATGAGCTATAACTTACACATTTTTCACTTATCCAGAGAAATCTCACGGAATATTTTGTTGCTGTGGATGTGAACAATATGCTGCAACTGTATGCCAGTATGCTACATGAGAGGCGCATCATAATTACCTCTAGCAAATTAAGCACTGTAAGTACTTCACAGTACTGTTAAGTAGCATGTATTGAGTGTTTCACAAAAAGACCTAAAAGCCTTTGCAAATTTAGAAATGTGGTATGTGTACTTGTAAGACAATATCTACATTTATATATATGGTTTTAATCTAGCTGTTGAAGTACAAAATGATTTATAGAAGGCCTTCTCTGATGTATTAAGTCAGGTTAATTATTTTTTCTTATCAGAAGATAAGAGGTTTTTTTTTCTCCTTCTCTCTTGAGTTCATTTTACTGCCTTCAACTATATAAAGAATTCTTAAGAGCTATTATGAGATCTTTATTATTCACTTGTGGCTTTTTCCACTGGAGCCTGCTTGAAAGAAATCAAGAGGCCATGATAATAGCTGCTATCCTAACCTGGTAATAAGTAGATTCATCTTTGTTGCTAAGTAGTGGTTCGCAAGTAGATTCTATAATAGTTCTGATTTGGAGGAGCTCTTCAGACTGATAATAACTTAAAAGTCAAAGTAGCATTTTTTATTAATCATAGGTTTTATGACACTCTGATCTTCTTTTGAAAGGTCTTCACTTCCATGGTAAAGTCATTGAGTACAAAATGATTTTTCTTGTGTCATTCAAAAATCTTCAAAGTATTTTGATATATTTCATAATTTTTTCTCCATGAAGCATAAAAACTTAAAATAGTTAACTTTAAAATTTTAAAACAAATTTACATAGCATTATGAGTAATCCATGGAATATTAAAAACCATTGTGCATATTTCATGAATTTGCATTTCTATAAATGGGTTTACTTTATGAAAATAAAATCATATTTTTAATATTTTATTTTCCTGTAATAGAAACAAAATTTCCTTCTATAGTATTACAGAATAGCAGGAGTTTTAAGATTTTTTTCTAGGGTCTCTAGTTTTTTTTTTAACAGTGAGAAGTTAGTATATCGAAGTTAAATGGTCACCCCAAGGCTTATTGTAAGTAGCTAACGGTGAAAACCAGTTCTCCTGATTCTATGATTTGAGTCATTTCCATTACCCTACAATTCAAAAAAATATAGTGTTGAGATTTTGAATATGTAATGGGTATTCTGTCATATGGTGATGAGTAAGTACTAGGCGATAAAGAGTAAAGTGTTGTATCAGGATAGAAGGTGAGGGGCAGGTTTTTATTTCATATTAGGTGGTTGTGGAAGGAGTGCTTTTCTTATAGGTAGAATTTAAGAAGAGATCTGAAGAAAGTAAAGCAATAAGATATGTGAATGAAGTACAAGCTGTACTGTATAGGGAAACAGTAGAATAAAACCTGCTTACATGTTCTTAAAAATTTGTTAATTTTTTTGTTTTAGTTTATTTTCCTTTCTTAATGGAAAATTAACCTCTGTTTGACTTGGTTTCTTCACCTATAAAGTGATGATAATAATAGTCTTAATTTCATAGAGTTGCTGGAAAGATTAGGGAGATATAATGTACTTAGAGTTGTATATACAACTTTCTTAGGATAATGTTCAATGTTTATTAATTGCAATTTTATAATAGTCTAGGTCTGTAACTTAGAATAAAAGCTAACATGCCTAGCTTTTAATTCAATATTTGACTTAAAAAACAAATTGTTAGAAAGTTTGGTACTACACAGGAATTGTTTCATGTGTTGAAGGTCAGTATAATACCAATTATTTCTGACAATTCATGAAAACTCTTTGATAATATCCTCTAAGTTATCAGCTTTGGCTTGGTTCAATCTCTTATTGCAGAAGGGATGAGAAAATAAATGATTCAAGTGTACTTTCATGATCTTTCATCCTTCTTAAGTAGGGGAATCCTGCTTTACTTCTATTATGAATAGTTATCATATATACTTTATATGTGCTATAAATATGCTAACTATAAATTCCATGCATAACAACATTTTAAGGTCAAGGAGTAGTATTATAAATTAGCGATACCCTATTCTATAAAAAGAACTGAACAGAATCTCTGAAACTTTCCAAAAAATAATTATTAATAAATTTAATTAGTATAATAGTTTTAAGCTTTTTGTATTTTTTATGAATCATACAGATTTCATTAATATAAATTGTTTTCTCTCTTGATCATCTTTTAAATCTATAGCAAAATTTTAATTGTTATTAGAACACATACAAGTTAAATTATCTTAACATTTATAATTCTATTGTGTTAGGAATTTTATTTTATTTATTTTTTGGTACTGGGGATTGAACTTGCGACCTCGCACTTGCCAGGCAGGTGCTTATGCTGCTGATCTAAATCCCTAGAAGGAATTTTATTTTCTTTGGTTACTAACTCTTTGACAATCATAAATCCTCATAATTATGATAGAATTATTAATATACATCTTGCTATGAGTTTTTAATGACTAAGTAGATTCTCTTCAAGTGCCATTTGTAATTTAAAATGATAATTGGTAATCTTTATAAACTTTATTTAAAATTTTTTTAAATACAGGACCTTATTCCTGTTGGGCAAGACTTCTGAGCTACATTTTCAGCCCCAACAAAATAAAAAAAAAAATAGCTTTAAGATAATGTAAGCAAAAATACTGAGGCTATTGTTATATTTAAAAATTTATAATAGGGTTTTCCCTCATTTCCTATAGTATAGCACAGTGTTAGAACCAACCATTATATTTTTTCATTGAGGTTAATGAATTAGGACACTATCTATTTTGCTTTATTTCTTTGATTTATACATTATCAAGTACACATGCAATGGTTTCTGGCAATCGTGAACAACAACATTGATTTTATGCATGCTGTAGGCAGGCCTTAGATGTTTAGGCCCCAAGTGAATGTCAGTAGATGACCAGAACATCATATTAGAGTCTCATACATTCAAAACAAAGAAATAAATCATGATATTACAAGGTTGTATCAGTTGACTTATTGCTGTTTTGTGACCATAGGTAGGGAGTACTGCTGTTTAAAGCCATGTCATCGGTTCTCAAATCAGTCAGGCATGAAGCCTTGTCATATGCCTCTGTAATTGTACTTCACCAGACTTTCCCTAACTAGTCAGCTGGGGCTGTGCATTTTGTCTCAAACACCCAGCTGGCCAGCATCTGACAGGAGCTTTCTCATCATCCTGTCAGTAATATGTTAACTAGCGTGTATCTTTGTAGTCCATAGAAGCAGGTGGAAAGGAAGCCTCTCTTTAAAGCAGATGTCTGTTAACTACTATATTGACCAATATTTAGTTGGTAAACACCACCATCTTAAAGTCTGTAATCACGTTACTTATAGAGATTTGACTCTGTGGTGAATATTGTGATGGAATATTTACAGCAAGTTATACGCTGTGAGTGTTGGAATTGCTTTAATAAACTGCAGTCTCTTCCTTTGTTTTAGATTCCCCTAGGCATTTAAGCATATCCTTTTCTCTCCCTTTCTCATTAATTCCATCAAGGGCATTTACAAAAGAAAATCTTGTGATCCCCAGAAAATCAACTATTAAAACAGAGATTTTACAAGTTTAGTTAATCTAAAGATGAGTCCAGAAGATTTTAACCTCTCCATCTGGATTGTACATATTCTTGATTTGTCTCCTAATGGTGGTACCACCTGTATCTAAATTTAATCTGAAATCTGAAACACAGAGGATCTTTCTGGAGATTAAGAATTGAATAGCTGGTGAGAGAACAAAGAGTACCCATGCCCACTTGCTGGTTAAAGTTATTGAAATGTAGTTTGGACCTTGTGCTTTTAAGGCTACGGCAGAGTAATGGGGTTAAACTTTTATCAGAGCCTTTTGGGGAGAGATATTCCAGAAATAATTTTTTAATGTTTAAAATTCTTCCAAAGTTCATAGCAACCAATTTTGTCAGTTGAACTTTAAACAATAATGATGGTACTTACCAGTATACTATTTTGACATATATAGTGCTATTCCATACATTGTTTTTTCGTTGTACTGTGGAGTGTGATTGGAGTATGGAAATGGGAATGTTCATATTATCATGAAATGCTTAATAGGAAGGAATGTATGTATATAGGTTAGTTGGAGGAAACCTCTAGGACAGGAAAACTAGAAATTTTTTTATACTCCTGTTCTTCTGAGCTAAAATCTCTGTCCATGGAAATGCATACATTTCTGGCTTACAGTTTAATACATTTGTCTTCTAAAAGCAATCAATTGGCTTTTAATTCACAAAACAAAATTTTTAGTACAACAGTTATGGGATGGTGTGAGAGGTACATTAAAGCATCATTCCTTTAGATTCTATAAGCTTCATTCCTACAATAGCTAATCACCAGAGCGAATGTGGATGAGTTTAGGTTACTAAAGTGTTTTCCTTATACATCAATGACTTGCTTAATTTTGTGATTTATCAAAATTAGAGAAAAATTGCACACACTTGTCTTAGTTACTTTTCTTGTTACTGGGAGAAAATTCCCAACACCCAAAATTAAAAGGGGAAGAGGCTTATTTAGCTCACATTTTGTAGAAGTTTCAGTGCATAATTTGCTGGCTCCAAGGCAGGGTAGTTTTACAGAAAGCAATTCATAATGGACAGAAGACTTCAAAAACAACAAGTGAGAAAAGAGAGAGACAAACCTCTTTCCTCTTTTATATTGTATGCAAGCTACCCGCCCTGGAACACATGTAGCGCTCACAACCTTTATCCTGACATTAGACCATGAATTCCATCACAAACTCCAAAGCCTGCCTCATGAATGCATGAGGCTTTGGGTGAACATCTAGGCACAAATCACAAAAGTATTGTTTTCTTTTTATTTGGTAAAACTGAGAGCAATGTGTAAAATGTATCTCCTATATTGATATGATTTTATGTATGATAGTTTTTATTCCACTGCTAGAGAATAAATCCAGGGCCTTCACACTGAGCTATAACCCAGACCTTTGTTATTTGCTATTTTGAGACAGAGACTCCAGAAGTTGCTAAGAGGCTCAGCCTGAGATTGAACTTGTGATCCTCATACCTTAGCTTCTTGGAATGCTGGGTCTACCGACCTGCACCACCATACCCAGCCTAGAGTTTTTCA